AGATAAAGTAAAATAAAATAAAGTAAGATAAAATATAATACAGTTATTAAAATAAAAAATAACTATTAAAAGAAAAAAATTAAAAAAAACAACAAAAAAAAGGACGGATAGAACCCTAGGACAAATGGTGGAAGCAAAGCTATACAGACAAAATCTCACACAGAAGCATACACATACACACTCACAAGAAGAGGAAAAGGGGAAAAAAATCATATATCTTGCTCTCAAAGTCCACCACCTCAATTTGAGATGATTTTTTTGTCTATTCATGTATTCCACAGATGCAGGGTGCATCAAGTTGATTGTGGAGCTTTAATCCGCTGCTTCTGAGGCTGCTGGGAGAGAGTTCCCTTTCTCTTCTTTGTTCTCACAGCTCCCAGGGGCTCAGCTTTGGATGTGGCCCCGCCTCTGCGTGTAGGTCACCGGAGGGCGTCTGTTCTTCGCTCAGACAGGACGGGGTTAAAGGAGCCGCTGATTCGGGGGCTCTGGCTCACTCAGGCCAGGGGGAGGGAGGGGCACGGAGTGCGGGGCGGGCCTGCGGCGGCAGACGCCGGCGTGACGTTGCATCAGCCTGAGGCGCGCCGTGCGTTCTCCCTGGGAAGTTGTCCCTGGATCCCGGGACCCTGGCAGTGGCAGGCTGCACAGGCTCCCCGGAAGCGGGGTGTGGATAGTGACCTGTGCTCGCACACAGGCTTCTTGGTGGCGGCAGCAGCAGCCTTAGCGTCTCATTCCCGTCTCTGGAGTCCGCGTTTTTAACCGCGGCTCGCGCCCGTCTTTGGAGCTCCTTTAAGCAGCGCTTTTAATCCCCTCTCCTCGCGCACCAGGAAACAAAGAGGGAAGAAAAAGTCTCTTGCCTCTTCGGCAGGTCCAGACTTCTCCCCGGACTCCTTCCCGGCTAGCCGTGGCGCACTAACCCCCTGCAGGCTGTGTTCACGCCGCCAACGCCAGTCCTCTCCCGGCGCTCCGACCGAAGCCCGAGCCTCAACTCCAGGCCCCACCTGCCCCGGCGGGTGAGCAGACAAGCCTCTTGGGCTGGTGAGTACCGGTCGGCCGTGATCCTGTGTGTGGGAATCTCTCCGCTTTTCCCTCCGCACCCCTGTTGCTGCGCTCTCCTCCGCGGCTCCGAAGCTTTCCCCCTTCGCCACCCGCAGTCTCCGCCCGCGAAGGGGCTTCCTAGTGTGTGGAAAGCTTTTCTCCTTCACAGCTCCCTCCCACTGGTGCACGTCCCGTCCCTATTCTTTTGTCTCTGTTGTTTCTTTTTTCTTTTGCCCTACCCAGGTATGTGGGGGGGGTTCTTGCCTTTTGGGAGGTCTGAGGTCTTCTGCCAGCGTTCAGTAGGTGTTCTGTAGGAGTTGTTCCACGTGTAGCTGTATTTCTGGTGTATCTGTGGGGATGAAGGTGATCTCCGCGTCTTACCCTTCCGCCATCTTCCCAGAAGCCCTCTTCCGCCATCTTCCCGGAAGCCCAATAATAATATTTCTAAATGTTATAGGATTATGAGTCATCCTTGGGACCTGTGTTTCACTCTCAACCGAGGAGTGACTCCTTGCCGCCCCTTCTGAGGGAGACTGTTTCAGCATCAGCTGCAACCATGACCATTTTAAAGGCCCAAGTCAGAGCCCTAGCTGGATTTTCCAACCTCTCCCATTGAACTGCAGCACAACAGGTCAGTCACTTGTTCGGTCGTTCCTTCCCTGTGTGTGAGATCTGATCAGAAATACTTGATCGGGAATGGTCAGACTAGAGCTGGGCTGAGTTTCTTAAAGCAGATCTCAGTATCTCCACTATCAGGATTTGAGGATTCCTGAAATTAAATTCCATGTACACTGTTGTGAGAATATATGAGGTGGAGGATGTTTTATTTGCTGTTATGTAAATTTTCAGATAATGAGGTAATTCTCATTCGTACAGAGTTGCAATTATAATTAAAATTTGGTTCAATAAGAGACAAAGCAAAAACTTTCATAATCTGTTTCATTTCTCAAGTTGTCATATTTTGCTTTTTTATAAATTTATTTATTTATTTTTGGCTACGTCGGGTCTTCGTTGCTGTGCGCAGGCTTTCTCTAGTTGCGGCGAGAGCGGGCTACTCTTCGTTGCGGTGCGCGGGCTTCTCATTGCGGTGGCTTCTCGTTGTGGAGCATGGGCTGTAGGCACGCGGGCTTCAGTAGTTGTGGCACACGGGCTCAGTAGTTGTGGCTCATGGACTCTAGAGCGCAGGCTCAGTAGTTGTGGCACACAGGTTAAGTTGCTCTGCGGTATGTGGGATGTTCCCGGACCAGGGATCAAACCTGTGTCCCCTGCATTGGCAGGTGATTCCCAACCACTGTGCCACCAGGGAAGCCCCTCAAGTTGATATCTTGATAAAACCTGATATTTCCCCAACTATTTACCATGAAAATATGATTCCCAGTTAAAATGACTCCTACGCAGTAGCCTTTTCCTGGTATCACTTGTTCTTTGAGAACTGGGACAGTGTTTAGAAGTATATTCAAGGTGTAGAGGAAGGAAAACAGCAGGAAGACAAAGGCTTCCTGAAGGAGGAGGTGTCCAGCTTTGGGCTTCGTCGACAAGCAAACTGAGGTGGTAAGAGGCAAATAGAGGAGTTGCTTTCCAAGGCAACTAGCGACGCAGCCTGGGCTTTAGTGTTACATCTATGTGGGTTCAAATCCCTGTTCTGCCTCTGCTTGCTGTGTGAATCAGGGCAAATTTAACTTCTGTGAGTGTTTGATTTCTCATCTAAAGATCACTACATGGAAAAAGATAGCAACACTAAAAATAATGAGGTAATAAAGACATCTAAGTTTTGTTTTCTCCTTCAAGAACTTGGGTATAGATAGCTTAAATATGATACGTGTATGGCTGTTAGCCAGAACTGGTGTCATCTTGGGCCCTTACAATTTCTCCTGTCCTTTCACTGACCCTACCCAGGGCTGTACTGTGCAGTGAATCACTTCTCTGTTGTCAGGGGCTTTGTAGTTAATAGATATTGTTTAATAATCACTAGGACCAGGTGGCCTCTATGCTCCGTTAGTCCCCAAACAATAATGAAAACCTTCCCTGACATATTCTGGTGCTCACGAGACTAGTTAACCTGTTCATAAATCTTAGCTTAGGAATGCATGTCCCTTATCTAAGCACGTACCCCCCCCCCCAAACCCTAGGTAAACTATAAAATTGTTCCAAAGGCCCCTTGGTGGTATGGAGTGCAGCTGTGAATGCTTCCGGATCGTTGTCTGCCTGATTCAGATCCCACCCTGTGAGTAAGTTACCCCATAATAAACTGATCCATTGATTATACGGAGCCACCTGCCGTATTTTTCAGTCTCAAGATGCCTTCTCAGTTTGGTGGGCACTGTTTCCTCCATCCTCCAGCAACACTGCTCCTGTTGGACAGCTTTAGCTCGTTTTGAAGATTGGGAATTAGGTGCTTCTCTGACTGGGGGCTGTTGCCAATAAAAACCTAGAGACACATCAACAAGTTATATCAGGAGGTCCACTCTTTTTATTATTATTATTATTTTTTAACATCTTTATTAGAGTATAATTGCTTTACAGTGGTGTGTCAGTTTCTGCTTTATAACAAAGTGAATCAGTTATACATATAACCCCATATCTCCTTCCTCTTGCGTCTCCCTCCCTCCCACCCTCCCTATCCCACCCCTCTAGGTGGACACAAAGTACCGAGCTGATCTCCCTGTGCTATGAGGCTGCTTCCCACTAGCTATCTATTTTACATTTGGTAGTGTATATATGTCCATGCCACTCTCTCACTTTGTCCCAGCTTACCCTTCCCCCTCCCCATATTCTCAAGTCCATGCTGTAGTAGGTCTGTGTCTTTATTCCTGTCTTGCCCCTAGGTTCTTCTGACAGGAGGTCCACTCTTGATGATTGAGAATAATTCTTCCTTTGCTATTATTTTCTTGCTGCATCCTGGAAGGTCCATCTGAGAAGCATGAGGGTGGTGCAGTGATAGTGGCAGCGATGGTGGTGGCAGCACACCTCAAGGTTTGGGTGGGGGTGGGGCACAAGGACAAAAGAGTAATCGTAGTTGGAAAGTGCTACCAGACAATCCACAGAGAGCAAAGGCCATACTCTCTGATTAGGCAACAGGCAATCATTTTCAAATCCTTTAATTCAGAGAATTAAAAATGTCCTCAGACTCCTCAGCTGTTAATAGGCAATTTACTGTGTAAGTAACACGCTATATTGTTAAGTAAACTTAATGTTTACTTTTGAGGTAGGTGATACTATTCTTTTCTCCTCATTTTCCAGCTGAGGACACTTGAGGCTCAGAGAGGCTAAGTAATTTGGCCAAGGCCTTACAGCTAATGGAAGAGCTGGGATTATAATCCAGGTTGAATACTAGAGTTAGCACTTTGAACCAGTACACCTGGCTCCCAGTTATGGATTAGTTAGTTGTATTTATTCTGATTGCCACAAAGACTGTCTGTGAAATGGTGTTGGTGGACTGTCCTTGTTCATTTGCAGAGCTGAGGTAATCTGAGGTAATTTATCAAGTTGGCAGAAGAAAAGAATGTGGGTAGAAGAGGAGAGACAAGGAACGTCAGCCAGTGAGGTCACTGTTCAGTCATCAAATATTTATTTTGCAGTCTTTTTATCAGGCAGTGTTTTACCTGAACATGGTTCCTCTCAAGAACTCACCATTCATTAGGAGACAGACACAAAAAGAAAATTATACTGTAGTAAGAACAGAACAATGACAGAGTAGTACATGAGGCACAATCATTACGAAGGGGCAGTCAACTCTGCTTTGGGGAATCAGGGAAGGCTTCACAGAGGGCGAAGATCAAGCTCTCTCTAGAAAGACAGTCAGGTATGGATTCGAGGGGCTGGAAGAGGCAACAGCTTGTGCCAAAGTGAGGAGGTACAGCACAGTCCGTAGTCTGGTAGTACTAGATGGCAGGGTTTGAAGTGGAGGGGTAGCTGCAGGACAGGATTCTGGTGACCTAGGCAAAGGGACTCAGGTCATGAAGAGTCTCCTCTTCCAGGCTAAGGAATTTATTATCTCTAATCAAGGGACAAACTTTGAAGGATTTTTACATTGGAAAGCAACATGTCTGCTCTGGATCCTTTCTGGTTGCCCTTTCCTATACACTCCCCATCATCTTTGCTTTGCTCTGTGGCTTCGGAGGCTCACCTCCTAACACATCAGTGGGTGTATTGGTAACCTAGGATTGCCATAGCAAAGTACCACAGAGTGGGTGGCTTATTCTTTCACAGTTCTGGAGGCTAGGAGTCCGGAATTGTTGGCAGGGTTGCTCCCTCTGGAGCTTTTGAGGGAGAATCTGATCTGTGCCTTTCTCTTACCTTCCAGTGTTTGCTTGCTTGGCGATCCTTAGATGCATCACTCCAATCTCTGCCTGTCTTCACGTGGCATTCTCCACTGTGACTGTGTCTCTGTGTGTCTTATCCTCTTTTTATAAGGATTCTCTTTTTATATTGGATTTAGCTCACCCTACTTCAGTATGATCTCATCTTAACTTATATACATTTGCAAAGATCCTACTTCCAAGTAAGGTCACATTCACAGGTACCAGGGGTTACGACTTGAATATATCTTCTGGTGCGGGGGGGGGTGTGTGTGCAATTAAATCCACAATAGTCAGTAACCTTGCATTCTAAATTTTGGTTGGGTTAGGCCACTGGGGAGCACGGGCAGCGGGATGGAAGAGCCTAAGATTCGGCAATTAATTTCCCTTTTGGGGTCACCATGGACTGCCTTCATTGGTCAGCTGGAGGTCATAGTTCTTGAGAGGTGGCCCTCTGTACATAATCTCTCTCTCTCTCTCCCTCTCTCTCATTCATAATTGTTTTCTCCCCTTTCCTCATTAGGCCTACGGATGGTAGAAGCACCTCATTGTTACTAGTCTGGCAGAATTTCATTCTACTTATGATTTCCCTACACTCTGCCCAAACCACTTGACATAATCTTTATATTAAATTACCTAATTTGAGTTCTATCTTATTCCTGCCAGGATCTTGATAGAAACAATGACAATATTTTTTATTTTAGAATAATTGCTTAGGTAAAGGAGGCAAAAAAAAGGGGATACTGAGACTAGAGAGAAAGATAGTACAGTAATTCAGATAAGAGATGATTAGACCTAACCTTGGATGATAACAGTTATGATGGAGAAGTGAAGAACACAAGATATTTGGGAATAGAATTAATATGACTTGGTACAACCCTCATAACCAAGCAGATTTATCCTCGCCAAATACTTATTAAGTAAGGAGAAATTCTGTCCCATAGTTTTTCTGGCACCAGTTTCAAAAAAAAGTGAAGATTTACAGATCAGTAGAAGGGAGGCGAGCAGGATAGGTGCCCCCCAAGCTTTCAAATAATGTGACATGGAGGCAGGCTTGGAGGAATCGGGAACTATTCGAGTTTTTAAGGGTTTCAGTGTCCTGTCCCACTGGGTCAGGATGGCATTTCTGGCTCCATCCCATTTTCCAGGGCCCATTAGGCGATACTGGTAAGGAGTACATGGTCCAAAGAAAACTTCCCAAGCTAGTCTGGGATCCTTGAGGAACAGAAGTGGGACATTGGGCTTCGTGCCTATGCAGGCAGCGAGTTCATCCATGTAGGAAATGTAGTCAAGTTTGTCTCCAATGGTATCTTTCATCAAACCCCTGATAGGAAAGAAGATGGATCACTTTTGATTTTCAAGTTATGAGTTACCCCACCTCCCACCATTTTGTTTCTGTCTATTGGAGTCAAGCCATGTCAGGAATGTTTTTCTGTGTTGAAGAGAAAAAAATAAGAGGAGTTTATTTGCATAGGGTATTTGTGAGCATAATTAATTTTGTTAAAGGAGATGGTAGAAGGAGGCAATTGGAAGAGGAGATTTAAATAATGTTTTAGGTTCTTGAATTTGATAGGAGGATAAAATCAGATCAGTTCAAATATCTTATTTGTTGAATAAATAAACATGATAAGAAAGCATCACATATATAGCTACCTAAATTATTTTTATTGATGTTAATTGTGAGTTGAGAGGACCGTAATTGGTGTAGCAGTACTGAACATGACACAGATATAAGTACAGTTGACCCTTGAACAACGAGGGAGTTAGGGGCACCAACCCACCATGTAGTTGAAAATCCACATGAAACTTTTGATTCTCCTCAGACTTAACTACTAATAAATTATTAGTAGTTAACTGGAGGCCATACTGACAGCATAAACAGTAGATTAACACATATTTTGTATGTTGTATGCTTCTACACTGTATTCTTATAATAGAGTGAGTAAGCCAGAGAAAAGAAAATGTTATTAAGAAAATCATAAGGAAGAGAAAATATATTTACAGTACTGTACTGTACTCATCAATACCATGAGTTTATGTCATCTGTTTATAAGATGAATTGTCTATTGGTAACTATATCAATATTGTCTTATATGATACAAAATACTGCAGATGTTGTTTGTATCCCAAACACTAGACATCAAAAATGAAAAGATAATGTGAAAAAGAAATTCATATTTATTTACAAGTATAATGAATCATACATTGATAATGAAAAAGAAGCAGCAATGTGATTATTTCATGGAACCCTAGCCTATATACTCATGAATGAATCATTATAAAATTTTTATGGTATACAGCATTACAGTCATATTCATAGTACAGTATTGGAAACATTGTTACATTAAAAAAACCCACTTACCTGTGATGACAGGCTGATAGACAGTTTCTCCAAATATGAGAGAAAGAGGCATACTGTACAGTAATGTAATTCTTTGAAAGCAAAGTTAGAAAATAGTAAGAAAACTAACACATTATTAATTTTATATTACTGTAAATATCACTCACTTTATACCTATGTAAGGATGGGCTACCCACTTCAGTACAAGTCTTACACATGATGTTCTGCATGACAAATACTTAAGCAATGATGACGATGATGACACAAAAACTTCTCATACAGTTCTTGCCGTGCAGTTTTTAGATTTTCACACGAAGACAGACACACAAACACAACAGATAAATCTATTGACGGTAGGGCATGATGATCATTTACTGTTCATTAAGGGGAAGTGGGCCATCATAAAGGTCTTCATCCTCGTCATCTCCACATTGAGTGGGCTGAGGAGGCAGAGGAAGAGGAAGCTTGGTCCTGCTGTCTCGGGGGTGGCAGAGGCAGAAGAGGTGGAGGAGATGAAGGGGAGGCTGAAGAGGCAGGTACATGTAGTGTGACTTTATGGAAACACACTGTAATTTCTGTCTGACTTTTTTGCTTTTTCATTTCTCTAAAAATGTTTCTATAAGGTACCAATTCTTCTTCCATCATTTGCTTTGGTTTCAGTGCCTGTATCATAGAAGGGTCCATGTTATAAAATAAGTCAAAATCAGTCTTAAATAATTGGAGCCCTTCTGCCAGATTGTCTAATGTCACTTTGTTTTCGGGCACTGCTTCTTCTATGTCTTCTTCCTCATCATCTTGCACTGGTTCAGAAGCACTCATCTCCATCAAGTTGTCTTCTGTTAGTTCCTCTGGTGTGGTTTCTATTAGCTCTTTTGTGTGTGTGTGTGTGTGTGTGTGTGGTCGCACTGTGCGTGACATGCAGGGTCTTAGTTCCCAGACCAGGGATCGAACCCTTGCCCTCTGCAGTGGAAGCACAGAGTCCTAACCATTGGATGACCAGGGAATTCCCTCTGTTAAGCTCTTTTTTTTTTTTTTTGCCTGTGTTGGGTCTTCCTCTAGTTGCGGTGAGCGGGGGCTACTCTTCATTGCGGTGTGTAGGCTTCTCATTACGGTGGCTTCTCTTGTTGTGGAGCACGGGCTCTAGGTATGCGGGCTTCAGTAGTTGTGGCACGTGGGCTCAGTAGTTGTGGCTCGTGAGCTCTAGAGCGGAGGCTCAGTAGTTCTGGCAGACGGGTTTAGTTGCTCTGCAGCATGTGGGACCTTCCTGGACCAGGGCTCGAACCAGTGTCCCCTGCATTGGTGGTGGATTCTTAACCACTGTGCCACCAGGGAAGCCCTCTCTCTATTAGCTCCTGAATTTCTCCAAGATCTTTATCTTGAAACCCTTCACCACCTGCTTTTTATTTTTATTTTTTTTGCCATATCTACAATCTCTTTCATGATTTTCTTAATTGGCTCTGTCATAAATCCTGTGAAGTCATGCGCAAGATCTGGACACAGTCTTCTCCAGCAGGAATTTATTGTTTCAGGCTTGATGGCTTTCACGGCTTTTCCTATAACAACAATGGCATCTTCAATGGTGTAATCCTTCCAGACTTTCCTGATGTTCTGTTTTCTTCCATAGCACTGACAATTCCTTCCATAGAGCACTTCAGCGCTTTGTGTTAAAATCATGGGTTCTGGGTGGCCAGGGGCATTATCCAATATCAAAAGAACTTTAAAAGACAGTCCCTTACTGGCAAGGAACTTCCTGATTTTAGGGACAAGGCATGGAAGGAACCAATCCAGAAAAAGGGTTCTCATTGTCCAGGCCTTCTTGTTGTACACCCAAAAGACTGGCAGCTGGTATTTATCTTTTCCCTTCAAGGCTTGAGGTTAGCAGCTTTATAGATAAGGCAGTCCTAATCATAAACCTGACTGCATTTAAACACAACAGTAGAGTTAGCCTATGCCTTCCTGCCTTAAATTCTGGTGCTTAGTTCTCTTCTTGACTAATAAATGTCCTTTGTGGCCTTTTTTTCCCCTCTAGAATAGGGCACTTTTGTTTGCATTAAGCACCTGTTCAAGCAGGTATCCTTTCTCTTCAATGATTGTCTTGGTGTCTTGGAACTTTGTCTGCTGCCTCTTGGTCAGCAGAAGCTGCTCCTCCCATTATCTTGACATTTAAAAAAAATTAATTAATTAATTTTTGGCTCCATTGGGTCTTCGTTGCTGCGCATGGGCTTTCTCTAGTTAACGGTGAGCGGGGGCTACTCTTCGTTGTGCTGTGCGGCTTCTCATTGCAGTGGTTTCTCTTGTTGCAGAGCACAGGCCCTAGGCGCGCAGGCTTCAGTAGTTGTGGCATGTGGGCTCAGTAGTTGTGGCTCATGGGCTCTAGAGCACAGGCTCAGTAGTTGTGGCGCGTGGGCTTAGTAGTTCCATGGCATGTGGGATCTTCCCGGACCAGGGCTTGAACCCGTGTCCCCTGCATTGGCAGGTGGATTCTTAACCACTGCGCCATGAGAGAAGTCCCTATCTTGACATTTTAAAAGACAAATCTCTTTCTGAAGTTATCAAACCATCCTTCTCTGGCATTACAATCTTCCTCACTTTTCTTTTGCTTTAAGTTGTTGTGTAATGACTTCACTTTTTCTCAAGTCATGTTAGTCTATAACTATGCCTTCCTTATAGTAATTCTGCACACATATAAAAGCTGCATTTTCAATACAAGATTAAAAGGTATTTCACAAAAAGTGCAAGGTTTTCATGCCTGCTGGCATAGCTACAGCGATGGCTTCACAAATTTTCTTTTTTAAAATAACAGTCCTTATGCTGGATTCATTTATCTTGAAAAGACAGGCAACTGCAGCTAGCAAACCTCAATCTATTGTACATATCAACTTTTTCTTGTAATGTCATGACTTTTTTCTCCTCCTTGGGAGCATTTCTAGCATCACTAGTGACACTTTTGTATGGGTCCTGTGGTATTATTCAAGGCTTACTAAACACGACGGAAAATACGTGATAACTGCAAGAGATCACTTTTTACTGAGACACGAAATTTACTGGAGAGATGAACTGCTCTTGCAGAGATGATTAGCATCACATGACATATTAAGCTGATAGTTGAAACACCTGAGCTGATCACAATAGCAACAGGAGGTGGCTATGAAGTTATTGCAGTAGTACAGTATATACTACAGTTAAGTTTCTGCTGTTATGATTTAATACTGCATCTTTACATTTATTTACATTTCTCTTGATTGTGAATGGTGCCATGCATGGTCTGTGTTTATGTGTGCAAGTTTTGATAAATTTTAAAATAGATTTTTGTATATTTGATGGTAGTAAATAATAAAATAGACTAGTATCTACATATATTTTGCGCATTCATAATATACCTAAATTTTCTTCATTTTTTCAGTATTTCTGGGCTTTGTGATTCATCTGTGAGTTTTTTCAAATTGTCACAAACCTCCCCCAATTTTTCCAATATACTGAAAAAATTCTACGCGTAAGTGGACCCATGCAGTTCAAACCTGTGTTGTTCAAGGGTCAACTGTATAGTGTATATGAAGGCTCTGTTCTCACTTATTTCTGTTGTTAGTAAACCTTCATGATGTGCCAATGTCATTCTTTCAATTATTCATTCTTTCCTTCAATTAATCAATCAATCTTAAGTGTGTATCACATGACAGGCACCATCCTAGGTGCTGGGAGTTCAACAGTGAGTAAAACAAAGTCCTTGCTATCAAGGAACTTACATTCTAACAGGGAAAATCATCAGGCTGTAGAAAAAAAACCCCAGCCAAATAGATATAGAATATATCAAGTGGTAATAGGAATTATGAAGAAATATAAAGGAGGGTAAAGGGAAGGAGGCAATGATGAGACTGAGTGGTTTGCCATTTTATACAGTGTTCTCAGAGAAGGCTTCTCTCTTATGAGGTGATATTTGAGCAGAGTGAACCTACAGGTACGGGGTGGGGTCAGAACATTCCAGACAGAGGGAACAGTAAGTGCAAAGGTTCTGAGGGGGCTATGCTTGGCATGTTGGAAGAGCAGGGAGCTGTCTGGAGTGACTGGAGCAGTATGGGTGAGGTGGGAGCACAGGAGGCAATGAGGGCATAGAGGTAGCTGGTTGCCTAAAGGGGTGCAGAGCTGCAGGGAAGTTTCTGGGAGTGAAATGGGAAGCAGTCAGAGGGTTTTCAACAGAAGAGCAATGTTAGCATTGGTCACTCTTGTGCAGCGTCAAGGTTAGACTGTAGAATAGCAGACGGGAGGTACAGAGACCAGATAAGAGGTGACAGCAAGTGTCCTGGTGAGAGATGATTGTGGCCTGTTCTGGGGTGGTAGCAGCCAGGGTCATGAGAAGGGTCTGGATTCTGAATTTATTTTAAGGTAAGAGTTGACAGTATTTGCTGAGGATGTGAGAGAAAAAGAGGAAAAAAAGGTCACTCTAAAGTTTTTGACTGTTCAACTGGAATAAGTAGCCATTGACTGAGAAGGGGAAAGTCTCAGAGCAGCCCATGTGCAGGTGGAGGTCGAGGGTTAGTTTTTAGACATATTAAATTTCAAACACCTATTACATATCTAAGTGGAGCTATCTAGAGGGAGTTGGATTAAGAGTTGGAGTTCCGGGTTTCCCTGGTGGCGCAGTGGTTGAGAGTCCGCCTGCCGATGCAGGGGACACGGATTCGTGCCCCGGTCCGGGAAGATCCCACATGCCGCGGAGCGGCTGGGCCCGTGAGCCATGGCCGCTGAGCCTGCGCGTCTGGAGCCTGTGCTCCGCAACGGGAGAGGCCACAACAGTGAGCGGCCCGTGTACCGCAAAAAAAAAAAAAAAAGAGTTGGAGTTCCGAGGAGAGATTTGGGCTAGAGATCCAAGTTTGGGAGCCATGAGTGTATGATGGCGTTTAAAGCCACAGGCCTGGTGAGGCCACCTAGGAGTAGTGTTAATAGAAGTGAGAAGAGGTCTGAGGATTAAGGCTGGGGTCCACCATTTTTCAGGAGTGAGGAAGAGGAGACACCTGTAAATGCCTAGAAAGAGCAGCCTGAGAAGTAGGAGGAGAACAAAGAGAACAGGGCTTTGGGGGCAAGTGAACAAAGGATTGCCATCTGTCCTGGGCCAGGCTCAGTGGAGTGACCTGGTCCCTCCACTGGACACATCTAAGACCACAAATCTAGTTGGTGGATGAGTTAGGACTGAAAACATATTCTTCTGACTCATAATGCAATTATTTCCATCCTGCCACATTGCTTCTCTAGGAATGGCTTTTATATTGAAAATCTTTTTTTTTTTTGTAATGGAATATATTGGTAGCAGGCTATATTTCATACCTTTCTATGAGCTGCTCCTTTTTCGTAGCCTCAGCCATCAATTTTTGAGATGGAGGTATCTTACAGAGTCCTGTAAGAAAAGTCAGAAACAACAGTAAAGTCACATGTGCCTCTTCTGTTGAGTTCTCCTCCCCCTGATTTCTGGCCCCCCACTGCTCCAACCTCAAAACATGTGGTCATCAAAGCTTAGAATGGAATTAGAGTGCAGAGGGTAATTTTTTGGAGGTAAATTCCCCCTCTGAATTCACTTAAGCAGGGTACTGTACTGCTGGAATTGTGAGGACAGATGCCCCGTGGCTGAGCCTGCACTGCACTGGTCATCAGGACCTGCCCCTCTTCATCTGCTTGCACTTGCACTTTACATATATTGACATATAATATTATTTATATTATACTGTATATATACCTCCACATTATATTTGTGTGTGTGCATTAAAACTATTAGCTGGTTAACTGTAAACACTTAAAATGACCCCGTTCTTATAACCCTGCTTTGGTATGTCTTCATTTTGTTACATGGGGAGGCTCAGGCATGGAAGGGGCCAGGCAGTGTCTCAATCTCACAAAGGCTGTGTCTGCTTGAGCTGTTGTGAGGATGTGCTTGTTCTCAATAATCCACCTAGACACGGACAGTCTCTCTTTTCTGGCCAGTCCTGCCCTTGTCAGTTGCCAAGTTGCTGACCCCAGGGTGTGGGGTTACTAACCTACATGAGAAAGGTCTGACTTAGCTCTGTAGTATACTTGCCACTGGGATCATTTTATCCTGTATAAAGCTGGAAAGACTTTACTTGGTGGTTCCCAGACTGCCTCTTGGAGGCTCTCTGGAGAGGCTTGCAATCACTGCTATGGTGTGATCTAATCAAGTTTTGTTTTCTCAGCTCTGTCATTCCTTTTTTTTTTTTTTTTTCTGAACGGGGGAGGGGGCAGGGCCGAGCTCTGTCATTCTGATAAGCATTTTTGAGCTCATTATAAAATACCTAAAAAATCCAGGTACTTAAGAGTCTTCTGTGTTTTTGTTTTTGTTTTGGGATTGTCTTCTTTTTTTTCATTGAACATAACATGAGATCTGCCCTCTTAACAAAATTTCTGGTGTGTAATACAGTATTGTTAAGTATAGTCACTGTGCTGTACAGCAGATCTGTAGAGCATATTCATCTAGCATAACTGAAACTTTATACTCATCAAACAACAACTCCCCATTCCCCTTCCCGCAGTCCCTGCTAACCACCATTCTACTCTCTGCTTCTATGAGCTTGACTATTTCAGATTCCTCATATAAGTGGGATCATGCAGCATTTGTCCTTCTGTGACTTATTTCATTTAGCATAATGTTCTCCAGATTCATCTATGTTGTCACAGATGGCAGGATTTTTTTTTTTAAGGTTGAGTAATATTTCATTGTCTGTATATTCTTTACCCATTTATTCACTGATGGACAGTTAAGTTGTTTCCATATCTTGACTATTGGGAACAATGCTTCCATGAATATGGCAGTGCAGATATCTCCTTGTGATGCTGACTTCAGTTCTTTTGGATATATACCCAGGAGTGAGACGGCTGGGTCATATGGTACTTCTAATTTTAATTTCTTAGCCACCTCCATACTATTTTCCATAGTGGCTGCACTATTGCATTCCCACAAATAGTGTAGAAGGGTTCCAATTTTTCCACATTCTTGTCAACACATGTTATCTTTTGTTTTTTTGATAATAGCCATTCTTATAGGTATGAGGCGATATTTCATTGTGGCTTTTTAAAAAAATTAGTTACCTATTTCATACATATTAATGTATATATGTCAATCTCAGTATCCCAATTCATCCTACCCCCTGCCCCCACTTTCTTCCCTTGGTGTCCATAAGTTTGTTCTCTACATCTGTGTCTCAATTTCTGCCTTGCAAACTGGTTCATCTGTACCATTTTTCTAGGTTTCACATATATGCGTTAATATACAATATTTGTTTTTCTCTTTCTGACTTACTTCACTCTGTATGACAGTCTCTAGATTCATCCACGTCTCTACAAATGACCCAATTTCATTCCGTTTTATGACTGAGTAATATTCCATTGTATATACGTACCACATCTTCTTTATCTATTCTTCTGTCGCCAGGTATTTAGGTTGCTTCCATGACCTGGCTATCGTAAATAGTGCTGCAATGAACATTGGGGTGCATGTGTCTTTTTGAAATATGGTTTTCTCTGGGTATATGCCCAGTAGTGGGATTACTGGGTCATATGGTAATTCTATTTTTAGTTTTTTAAGGAGCCTCCATACTGTTCTCCATAGTGGCTGTATCAATTTACATTCCCACCAACAGTGCAAGAGGGTTCCCTTTTCTCCACACCCTCTCTAGCATTTGTTGTTTGTAGATTTTCTGATGATGCCCATTCTGACTGGTGTGAGGTGATACCTCATTGTAATTTTGATTTGCATTTCTCTAATAATTAGTGATGTTGAGCAGCTTTTCATGTACCTCTTGGCCATCTGTATGTCTTCTTTGGAGACATGTCTATTTAGGTCTTCTGCCCGTTTTTTGATTGGGTTGTTTGTTTTTTTAATATTGAGGTGCATGAGCTGTTTATATATCTTGGAGATTAATCCTTTGTTGATTTGTTTGCAAATATTTTCTCCCATTCTGAGGGTTGTCTTTTCATCTTGTTTGTAGTTTCCTTTGCTGTGTGAAAAGTTTTAAGTTTCATTAGGTCCCATTTGTTTATTTTTGTTTTTATTTCCATTACTCTAGGAGGTGGGTCAGAAAAGATCTTGCTGTGATTTATGTCACAGAGCGTTCTTCCTGTTTTCCTCTAAGATTTGTATAGTGTCTGGTCTTACATTTAGGTCTCTAATCCATTTTGAGTTTATTTTTGTGTATGGTGTTAGGGAGTGTTCTAATTTCATTCTTTTCCATGTAGCTGTCCAGTTTTCCCAGCACCACGTATTGAAGAGACTGTCTTTTCTCCATTGTATATCCTTGCCTCCTTTGTCATAGATTAGTTGACCACAGGTGCATGGCTTTATCTCTGGGCTTTCTATCCTGTTCCATTGATCTACATTTCTGTTTTTGTGCCAGTACCATTTTGTCTTGATTACTGTAGCTTTGTAGTATAGTCTGAAGTCAGGGAGTCTGATTCCTCCAGCTCTGTTTTTTTCCCTCAAGACTGCTTTGGCTATTCAGGGTCCTTTGTGTCACCGTACAAATTTTAAGATTTTTTGTTCTAGTTCTCTAAAAAATGCCACTGGTAATTTAATAGGGATTGCATTGAATCTGTAGATTGCATTGAGTAGTATAGTCATTTTCAAAATACTGATTCTTCCAATCCAAGAATGTGGTATATCCCTCCATCTGTTTGTGTCGTCTTTGATTTCTTTAATCAGTGTCTTATAGTTTTCTGAGTACAGGGCTTTTACGTCCTTAGGTAGGTTTATTCGTAGGTAGTTCATTCTTTTTGTTGCAATGGTGAATGGGATTGTTTCCTTAATTTCTCTTTCTGGTATTTCGTTGTTAGTGTATAGAAATGCAAGAGATTTATGTGCACTAATTTTGTTTCCTGCAACTTTACCAAATTCATTGATTAGCTCTAGTAGTTTTCTGGTGGCATCTTTAGGATTCTCTATGTATAGTATCATGTCATCTGCAAACCGTGACAGTTTTACTTCTTCTTTTCCAATTTGGATTCCTTTTATTTCTTTTTCTTCTCTGATTGCCATAGCTAGGACTTCCAAAACTATGTTGAATAAGAGTGGTGAGAGTGGACATCCTTGTCTTGTTCCTGATCTTAGAGGAAATGTTTTCAGCTTTTCACCATTGAGAATGATGTTTGCTGTGGGTTTGTCATACTTGGCCTTTATTATGTTGAGGTAGGTTCCCTCTGTGCCCACTTTCTGGAGAGTTTTTATCATAAATGGGTGTTGAATTTTGTCAAAAGCTTTTTCTCCATCTATTGAGATGATCATGTTGTTTTTATTCTTCAGTTTGTTAATATGATGTATCACATTGATTGATTGGCGTATATTGAAGAATCCTTGCATCCCTGGGATTAATCCCACTTGATCATGGTGTATGATCCTTTCCATGTGTTGTTGGATTCTGTTTGCTAGTATTTTGTTGAGGATTTTTGCATCTATATTCATCATTGATATTGGTCTGTAATTTTCTTTTTTTGTAGTATCTTTGTCTGGTTTTGGTATCAGGGTGATGGTGGCCTCGCAGAGTGAGTTTGGGAGTGCTCCTTCCTCTGCAATTTTTGGGAGGAGTTTGAGAAGGATGGGTGTTAACTCTTCTCTAAATGTTTGATGGAATTCACCTGTGAATCCATCTGGGCCTGGACTTTTGTTTGTTGGAAGATTTTTAATCACAGTTTCAATTTCATTACTTGGGATTGGTCTGTTCATATTTTCTATTTCTTCCTGGTTCAGTCTTGGAAGGTTATACCTTTCTAAGAATTTGTCCAGTTCTTCCAGGTTGTCCATTTTATTGGTATAGTGTTGCTTGTAGTAATCTCTTATGATGCTTTGTATTTCTGCGGTGTCCGTTGTAACTTTTCCTTTTTCACTTCTAATTTTATTGATTTGAGTCCTCTCCCTCTTTTTCTTGATGAGCCTGGCTAATAGTTTATCAATTTTGTTTATCTTCTCAAAGAACCAGCTTTTAGTTTTATTGATCTTTGCTATTGTTTTAATATAATTGGAAAATGCTGTGAAAGCACTTTAATTAGCCTTAAGTAAACATTTGTAATAATTTAATCACAAATGCCATGGAATTTTTTCTGTAATACAAATAAATGAGATTTCCTAATCACCTTCTCCTCCCCTCCACTCCTCACCCTCCCAGTTAAAATATCATGTTTGTCAATTTAGGAGAACATTTTAAAGTATGGTTGATATCTAATGCATTTTTACAGTGTGACAGAAATCAATATTACTTAATATTGTGTTATATGCTATTTATAAATTATTGGTGATTGTTTTTATTCATTAAGGGTATAATTCTGCTAAAGGACAGCTGGTTGGCTCAACTGTGATTGCTGTTTATATTTTTACAAATGCAATAATACAGTTACAAATGGAATTCTTTAAAATGCTTATGAATCTAAAACTTGCCCTACTTTACAGAGGTATGATAATAATAGCAATAGTAAGAACAACAGCTATAAGTTAATGAGCATTTACTCTGTGCCAAGAACTGTGCTAATTGCTTTGTAGACATTATTCATTTTACAAAACCTCCGTGAAACAGGTTTTATTATCCTCATTTTACAGAAAAAGGGACTGAGATTTAAAGAGGTCCTCGCAAAGCTAATGAGTTGGGATTGGACCCCAGTAGCCCTGACTCTGTCACCTCTGCTCTTACAGTGATAACTGATAGCAATCTGTGTCCAGTGTCTACAGTGTTTTTATGGGCATTGCTTAAAAGTCACTATCTCCTTAGACCCCAACTTTATTCACAGTGTATATTATTTCAGTGTCTTTCTTAGGAAGCAATATAAAACTCTACTGATAGTCATAAATGGAAAGACTTAGGAGTAAATGGACTAAACTAGACTTGATTTGACTAGAGTAGTATAAAACAGGATCCTGAAGCTTCTAATATTTTCAGTTACTCTGAGAAATGTGATTTTATTTTGTTTTCCAAATTTATTCTATCCACAGAGTCAAAGCCTCTTTTTCCACTCAGTCACATTAATGACATAAGCACACCCATCATAATATTACACATATATAAAATTAATTCTTCACTAAAATTTTTTTGGATGTTTTATGTTACTTTAACTCACATTTGTTTGATTTTAGCTAAATCTCAGGGGACTGGTTTCAAGACTCATTTGTTCACATAGGGCTTTAAATAGAGTCCAGGTACCTTTGAATACTCTTGTGGCCCATCGTGCTTGGAGCTCTGTGCCTGCTAAGATGGATCCTGTAAGGCTGATGAAGCCAATCATAGCCAGTGTTGTCCTCTCTAGGTTTGAGGGAAAGACCAGCTTATACAGGAATGTCTTCTTTGTACAAAGGCTTTTGAGAGGTTCTTCCAGAAAGGGAAAAGAAAAGGTGTATCCTGTAGTGAAGATCACAACATCGATGTTTTCTTCCACTGTCCCGTCTTCAAAGAGAGCAGAGGTTTCTGTAAACTCCTTCACGCCGGTTTTCATAGTGACTGTCCCACAGAGGATACAGGTTGGCAGCTCATCATTCACAATTGTTTTTGGTTTTTTCCTTTGACACAGAGGAGAAAATTATTCACTGTGGTTATATTTATAAGACACTCAGCAAATGATTTATTTAGTCAATTCAGAATATCTGCCACGTCAAGGGAGTAAATTGACCAATGTCTAATTCAAAGTTGTCTATCTGACTTACTGTTTCTATAACATCTTTTGTTTTCCTGCTCCCAGTAGAAGGCATGTAGAAAATGACTAAACCTACTCTCTCCTGTGGGGTTTAAAATTCTCTATCTCTTGGGTCTAATTTCTGGAGCAATGTCAGGATCAAGTACACAACAGTCCATTTGATAGTCAGTTTTGGGTCCACATCACCCAGGCCTCAAAGGATTGGCATTTGGCAAAGAGGAAATTACAAAAAAATTTTTGGATTAAAAAAATTGAATCTGATAGATTTTCATAATAAATATTTTCAGTATGAACATTCTACCTAATTGCAGCAGACATAATGTCTATAAAATTTACATGTTGAATCATTCGTTGTTATTAATTTTCTTTGTAAGTTGAAAGCCATCTTACCCAAGAAAAAATATTTGGGTCATGCATATAATAAAAATCACATTTAATGACTTTACATGCATTTCAAAGTTTTCCTTTTCCTTGCCAATGTGTAGCTCTATATAGATGTGTATTAAAATATATAACTCTAGGAATTCCTATTGGCAATTCATACCTCTAATCTTTCAGCCAGAGTAGACATTTATTAAAGGTTAGTGAGAGCTGGCCATCTGCACTCACTGTTGCTGCAAATATTCTATTTGTGGATGGCAGCCATCCTGTGAACCCTCAAGGCCAATTTAAATTGCATAATTTTCAAACTGGAAATAAAGTTTCCATCCTTCATTTTCTTCTAGCCTCATCAATTACTATTTTGCTACCAGACAGAGAGTACTCCTATTTCAAGAACTTCTGTGGTACTGATAGACATTGTCTTAAAAGAATAAGCTTAGAACAGGATAAACAAAGGCAATGTCACAATTATTGAACATTTTGAGTTCTGAATAAAATAGAATGAGAAATATTGATTAAATAACTTTACCATTAAATAAAAATATAAGTACCCCTTAGTAATATTTAGTCCATAATTCGTATGATCAAATCTTTTATTCAAGCCCCTCTCTCGACTCCACTTTAGTACACATGAAGGCAGAACTTGTGCAGTAAAATTGTGGCGTCTTGTAGCCATCATATTAAATGGGTAGCCGCCATTTGAAGAGCGGCTGATGACCCAGGTACCCGTTCTAGTACTGAGAAGAACCTAAAAAGTAAGGCAAGAAGGATAAATACATGTGCATCATTTTTGTAGTATTTTTCTTCAATGTTTCAAACGATTTATAACATTCTGGTCTTATAACAACAGAAGACTGGTGAAGTTGTACCTAGATCTACAAATGACTAGGTGTTCCCCCTGCTGTCATTATTTTCATAAATCACTTTGACCTGGTCTATGTATTGGTTAAGTATTTTCATCATGTTTAAAGTAAAGAATTATAGTACTAGCAGACATGTGCTATTGAGCTGGCAATGTTTTACATGTAAATAATATAGGATTTAAAGTGAGGTTTTGAGCAAGCAATTTTAACTAAATTAAATAAAAATCTATTATTTCTAAATCTAATCATTGTCCTATAATTTATGATAAAGTGGAATAGATTTCTAATTTGTGGATCTATGCTTGGAATTTCTAAAATCATTATGCATACTTCTTGGGCAAAGTAACGGGTGCTTTTACCTCAAAACGAAGTACAAATCTGACTCCTAATTGAAAACTTGGAGATGTTCAGAAAAAAACCTCCCCTTTCTCTTTTTACATGGTTTTTCTTTCCAGAATTACAGAGAGAGAGTGTGAAAGAAAGACAGTTGGCATGGGTAGAACAATTTGCTCATTTGATCTTGTTTCAGGGGTACCTCTGAAAAATACTTAGTGGTCTGGCATCCACACAATTTTCTTAGACCCTTCTTGGACATCTCTTGGACATCTTTTCAGTTCTGTAAAGCGTGCATTATGAGAGGCTTTAGGGATTTTCAAGATTTTTTTTTCACTTACCCTGTGTCCACATAATTTAGCGATTGGCCGGTGTGTTTTATAACCTTGAATACCACTCTCCAGACACCAGAAATGATGCTGGGGGTGGGAGTGCAGATTCAGAGATGGTGTACCTGAGCTGCGGTTCGACTGAGCTCCACTGCAATGTCCCCTCCAGTGTTCCCAAGACCGATCACTAAGACGCGTTTGTCCTGAAAGCCTGTTGGGATCTTGTACTCTTGACTGTGCAGGATCTGGCCTTTAAACTTATGGATTCCTGAAGGGACAGAGGGATCAGAAATATCTAGAGTTGTAACTCCTTCGTTGGCAGGCATAGGGTCTGTGGGAAAAGGCAAGTCCCAGAAATATGGCAGCCCTTTGTTCTTGCTCCCAATTGCAGGCAGTAGAACCAGTATATCATCCCCTATCCCACTGGATGCTGTAAGCTCAGATACTGATTTAGTATAACATGCCTTGTTAAAAACATAGGAGAACTTATATTTCATGCGTGTTCCGTTTTAAAGCAATTACTTAGGGAAATCAAGCTTACTGCAGACAATAATAAGAAACATCTCATGCATGACCTGAACATCCTAGACAAGAAGTAGACTGTTGATGCATGTTATTTTACCCAATAGATATATTCTATCAGAATGTGATTTATGTATATAACATGTTTACAAATTGAATTAAGAAATTTTCTTTTTTACAAAAAGAAATTGTGTGGCATGTTCTCATGTAAATAAAGTAATTATTCTTGTGATTTAGGCTTGTTACTTCATGCTTATTTTACTTTGTGTCTTATTATATGCTTAATGTCTTATTATACTGTATGCTTATTTATACTTTATTCTTTTGTTATTTATATTTGTATTTCTAACTGATCTTTCAAGCTCCTAACACTCTGTCAATGGAAGTATCACTATTACGATATTGATATACTATATATGAAAAGGGCTACCAAATATTTCTCCTCTTGATTTTTTTTTTTGGTAATTATCTCCTTGGCATATATAACAGACATAAACCATGGATTCATATAAACTAGGAATGGTAGTAACAGTGGAAGCAGAGCTATTTACAGTGGTGGCTGTGTCACTGGCAAAGTCCATTAACAATTCCCTGGAAATAAAAGTAGAAACTGGGTAATAAAGTCTAACCTTTTTCTTTTCCTTTGTACTTAGTCTAGTTTCACCTGCTCATAGGATACCATGTGAAGAGGCCTTGTACCCAGCATTTCAGACCAGAGTTCCTAGTGTGAAATGGCTGTGCCTGACACTTCAGCTCAGCAGACCGTGTGCAGAAGTGCATTCAGGAAATGCCTCTGAATCTATACTACCACCCACCCTGAGTCATTGGAAGGGAGTGCCAGATAGATGAAGAATGATGGGGCCAGGGGGCTGCTAAGCTGGCACACCAATTGACCCCTAGGAGCCCCAGCTAATATTGGACATGGGGGGAAAGCCTGTTGAATTCTTAGTTGACACTCATGCCACTTACTCAGTTTTGAACACCAGATCAGGTAAACTCAGTCACAAGAGTTGTAAAATTATGGGGGTCTCAGGGAAGGTCCAAGAACGGGCATTCATAGAACCATCAGAATGTAAACTGGACAAACACAGGCTCACCCATTCCTTCCTGCATGTTCCCGAGTGCCCCGTACCTCTGCTAGGAAGAGATATCTTGGGAGCTACTATACACCTAATGGGAGACTGGTGTCCCCTTAGACAAAGGGCACAAGATGATAATGTTAATGGCTGAGGACAAACCTCCCCAGACAGAGCAAGTTGATCTCCCTGGAATAAATGCCGAGGTCTGGGCCCAGGGATGGATGGGATGAGCTGTAGGAGCCAGTCCCGTGATAGTCCATCTAAAATCTGTACATACATGGCCTAATAGAAAACAGTACCCCACTCTGCTGGGAGGTCTTGTTGGGAACTGCCCGTGTCACAGGGCCTAACTGACCAGGGCCTTATTATACCATGTCAGTCAGCCTGTAATACCTCCATTCCCCCTGTAAAGAAACCCAATGGGAAATACCAGATGGTACAGGACCTCAGGGCCGTCAATGAAGCCACTGAAGATATATACCCAGTAGTGTCTAATCCTATACCCTGCTGGCCGCTTTACCGTCCACCAGGACCTGGGGCTCTGTATCAGATTTAAAAGATGTCTTCCTCTGTATTCCATTAACCACAGAGCCACAAGAAAGTTTTGCTTTTGCGTGGCAGGACCCAAACATGCAACAAAAACAACAATACTGCTGGACAGTCCTGCCTCAAGGGTTCAAAAATTCTCCCACCATCTTTGGGGAAACTTTAGCTAAAGACCTAAAAGATCTACATCTGGAGGAGGGAACCCTCCTCGAGTATGTAGACAAAATTCTGATTGCCAGCCTTACTAATGAGGCCTCTGACAAAAATACTATAACCACCCTGAACAACCTAGCAGATAAAAGATATAAGGTATCCAAGAAAAAGGTTCAAACACCACAAACTAGGGTGACCTACCTAGGCTTCATTCTCACAGAAGGCAAGAGAAGCATACCCCAGGAAAGGAAAGAAGTCATTTGCTGCCTCACCCCTCCTGAAACTAAAAGACAGCTTAGGCGTTTCCTGGGGATGGCCAGGTTTTGCCACATCTGGATCCCTAACTATGGTTTAATAGCTGGGACTCTGTATGAAAAGTTGAAAAGAAAAGATAATGATCCTTTTGAATGGAATTCAGAATGTGAAGGGGCCTTTGAAGAACTGAAAAAGCAGTTACTTCAGACTCCTCTCCTGGCCCTCCAAAATTTAGCTAAACCCTTTGACCTTTACATTCATAAAAGAAAGGGAATCGCCCTTGGGGTATTAGCTCAAAAAATGGGACCCCTTACTCAGGTGGTTGCTTATTTCTCCAAACAATTAGATCAAACTACTAAGGGATGGCCTTCTTGTCTACCAGCAATAGCAGTTACTACAACCCTGCTAAAGGAGGCTGAAAAGTTAACATTTGGTCAGCCAATCACTATACGGACTCCACACCAGGTTCAGGCTTCAGTTAAGTTCTAAGGGAACAGAATGGCTAACCCCCAGAAAGTTGATTCAAGTTCAGGCTATGCCTTTAGACAACCCAGTTGTTACCATAAAAAAACTGTCACAGGCTAAATCCTGCTACCCTGCTACCCACAGAAATAGGGCCCTTGGAGCATGATTATATAGAAGCCATAGACAAGATGTATTCCAGTCGCCTTGACCTAGGAAGTGACCTCTCCCAAACACTGAAGAGGAATGATTCACAGATGGGAGCAGTTTTATGAGAGAAGGAAAAAGGCTGGCAGGATAGGCAGTGACCTCCCAGACCTAAGTCATAGAAGCAAGAAGCCTACCCCCAGGGACTTCTGTCCAAAAGGCCTAGTTGATAGTCTTCACCTGAGTCTTAGGGAAGATTTTACACGGATGTTTACACAGATTCCCAGGATATGCCATCCTTCACACACAGGGCTATCTGGAAGGAAAGAAGTATGCCTGCTGTGGAGGATAAACAGGTGAAACATGGCTTAAAAATACTGAAGCTCTTAGAAGCAGTACAGCTTCCAAAAAAGGTGAGTGATTCATTGTAGGGGTCACCAAGAGAAGGATGCAGAGGTAATAAAGGGAAATGACAAGGCCAATGCAACTGCTGAACGGGCAGTCCTAGAACCAGTAACTTGGCAATTACCCCTCATACCTCAAAGGCCAGATCCATCCAATTGTTCCTCAATCTGCACAGAGGAAGAATTAAACAGAGCCTGAAAATGGGGCTTCGACAGAGATCTAGGAGGCCATGGGTGGCTAGTTAGTGAACACGGGCAATACTTCTTCACCCAAACTGCAGCTTGTCAAGCCATCAGGGAGGCTCATCAAGGAACTCACTACAGGTATATAATTGGCTAGTTGAGGTCATGGTAACTCCTGGCATGAAAAGTATAATCAGTCGGATAGCTGAGACATGCCCCATCTGCACAATGAACAACTCCAACACCAGACCCCCTAGAGGCCCCCAGGTGAGGCCCATTCAGACCAGAGGGACATATCCTGGGGAAGATTAGCAGACTGATTTCACTGGCATGGCGAGAGTACCTGGCAATTTCAGGTATCTCTTGGTGCTAGTACTCTTTTTCTGGGTGTATAGAAACGTTACTAAAAGAAATAATTCCCAGGTTTGGGCTTCCAGGGTCCCTACAAAGTAATAATGGTCCAGCATTTGTGTCTCAAGTGATGAAGGGGATAACGGGCACTGTGGGCGGACTTTGCACTCAGCCTAGAGACCTCAGTTGTTGGGGAGAGTAGAAAGCTCCGATCAGACTTTGAAATGGGCCTTAGCCAAGCTATGTCCAGAAACTCAAGAAGACTGGATGAAGTTGCTTCCAGTTGCCCTGCTCCGCATGTGATTAGCCCCAAGGGATAAGTGAAAGTTAAGTGCATTTGAACTCATCTATGGTACAGCCACTACCCGAGCCCGAGAGAAGGGACGCCTTAACTTGAAATGGAACAACTCAAGTGTGCCCTCCAGGGAGGAGAAACTATGAAAGCTTTCATGGAATATGGTAACCAGGTGCTGCCTGCACCCACCAACCTGGCCCTCTACCCATTCTGGCAAGGAGACTGGGGACACCTAAAAACCTGGAAAACCAGCAGCCTGCAAGACCAGCTCAGTCCTAAGGGGAGCGGACCCCACTCGGTGACCCTAACCACCTACTCTGCCCTGACATTGCAGGGATCGCTCTGTGGGCACATCACCCTTGAGTGAAGAGGACCCTAAACGCTACCTCCAGAGAGACAACCTGGGGCCATGGACTCCCCCTGACTCATGCGAACCTCTCTCTGACCTGAAGCTTTTCTTCCAAAAAAACAACAAAGTGTGACCAGGGATACTTAGGCCACTGCAGTGAGCCTCCATATCAGGGCACGTTTGCCTACAGGCAAAAGACCTAGATACCTGCATTTTTAGGAAAATCTTGCTCTTGCTAATATTTGGACCATGCATCTTAAATTATCTGGTGTCCTTTGTCTCCAAAGGGTTAGATAAATGATGGTCGCTCAGCAATATGAACAGTTAGTGTTGAGGCCTGGTGACCATCAAACGCATCTAAAGGCATCTGGGAAGAAGTCTGGTCCTCTTCCGGGGGGTACAAAAGATGGACCTGCGCCCCCTAGCGCCCCTCAAGAATGAGGAGAAGGACAAAAGAGAGGAGGGGTTTGTCACCAGCAGAGCCTAGTCTGGGTAATAAGATAAAGTTTAACCTTTTTGTCT